GCACCTCTCCTAAACAGGTTCTACTCTGCTAGCCAGCACCTCCTAAACAGGTGTTCTCCTCTGTTAGCCAGCACCTCTCCTAAACAGGTGTTCTACTCCGCTAACCAGCACCTCTCCTAAACAGGTGTTCTACTCTGCTAACCAGCACCTCTCCTAAACAGGTGTTCTACTCTGCTAGCCAGCACCTCTCCTAAACAGGTGTTCTCCTCTGTTAGCCAGCACCTCTCCTAAACAGGTGTTCTACTCCGCTAACCAGCACCTCTCCTAAACAGGTGTTCTACTCTGCTAGCCAGCACCTCTCCTAAACAGGTATTTGGTATTTTGATATTTTATTAGGATCCCCATTAGCTGTTGCAAAAGCAGCAGCTACTCTTCCTGGGGTCCACACAGAACATGAAACATGAAATAATACAGAACATTAATAGACAAGATCAGCTCAAGGACAGAACTACATACATTTAAAGGCACACGTAGCCTACATATCAATACATACACACAAACTATCTAGGTCAAATAGGGGAGAGGCGTTGTGCCGTGAGGTGTTGCTTTATCTGTTTTTTGAAAACAGGATTGCTGTTTATTTGAGCAATATGAGATGGAACGGAGTTCCATGCAATAATGGCTCTATATAATATGGTTCGCTTTCTTGAATTTGTTCTGGATTTGGGGACTGTGAAAAGACCCCTGGTGGCATGTCTGGTGGGGTAAGTGTGTGTGTCAGAGCTGTGTGTAAGTTGACTATGCAAACAATTTGGGATTTTCAACACATTGTTTCTTATAAAAAGAAGTGAGGCAGTCAGTCTCTCCTCAACTCTTAACCAAGAGAGACTGGCATGCATAGTATTTAGATCAGCCCTCTGATTACAGTGAAGAGCAAGACGTGTAGGACATCTATCTGATGCTGTGTGATCCAAACGAGTATGACATTGTTGCCACCCGTAGCATTGAATGCAAGGGAAGCCAGCGAGCATTTGGCCTCCCTTGATAAAAAAAAGTATTTAAAATTAGCCAATCAGCTTTGAGCTAAACTGAGCGAGCTCAACTGTGAATGGTCCTGTCGCATCAAAAAAAAAAGTGTCAAGGGAAGCTAGCTTGGATTTTGGCATCACTCCTATCAAATCCCATTGAGAGCATACCTCATTGACAGAAAAACTTGAATTGTTGCATCTGGTTGGGTTGTTGTCCTCCGTTGGCTATCTAGCTAAATTTGTCCCTTCCCTAAATTAGCCATGGATGGAGATAAGGATTTGGACTTGTGGTTTTACATAATTATCTGTACTGGCCAATTATTATAAAGGTGATTCTGATCCAACCATTAATTCATACATTGTTGTGTCCTTGGCCTGAGAGGATGGAAGTTCAATATGTAGCTAGATGTAGAAGGCTAATGTTAACTAGCTAACGTTGCCCATGGAATGGAAGTTAGGTTAGTGAGCCATTTTAGCCAGGTAGCGTGTACTGTATGACAGAGTCATGGACCGTTTAGGCAACAGGAACGAGAGGAGGATGGCATTGGTAATTCTCTACAAGTAAGGTGAGTCAACATGTTTATCTACTTGCCGGAACGTGCACACAGAAATCAGAACCATGGACAGCCACATCATATTTAGCTTATGTTAATTGGACTAAATTGTTTTTGGTATCATTTAGTTGCCACTGTATTAGAGTTAGCAGAGGTGATTTGATGATGTGGAAGTTGGAATGGTGCTGGAATAGTGGAGGCAGCTCCTGTTTTCTTTGCGACTTGCGGTAACTCTCTGTGGTTCTAAATCAATAGTTGTTTAGTGGTCAGAAAATGTCAGAAATATTAACTTGCTTGACCGTGCTGTAGGTCATGTAACTGTTTGTTAGATGCAATATGCTTTGTGGACTCCACCAGACAGATGTTGCTCTCTGGTGTTGTGATGAAACAAAGGTGTGGTTGAATTTATTCTGCCACTGTGTCTTCTTATTGTCTCGGCCTTTAGGCCTATATATCACGGTGTCAAGGCATTTGAACTAACAGGTTATAGAGCAAACAACACAATTATCACAACACATAGGTTGTAAAAAAAAAAATGTAAATGTAATGTGGCTTTTTTTTCTGGCTTGGCTTCCCCAGTGATTTTACCAACGCACCGCTACTGGCTGCCAGACAACCACCAACCCTGACATCTGAGCTGAAGGAACTTAGAGACATGGTGATGGAGCAGACAGACAGGGGAGGAACATGGTGATGGAGCAGACAGAACGGGGAGATGAGGAAGCATGGTGATGGAGCAGACCGACAGGGGAGCTGACGGACATGGGTGGTGGAGCCATACCGACAAGGGGAGGAGGACATGGTGTATGGTAGCAGACAGACAGGGGAGGAACCATGGTGATGGAGCAGACCAGACAGGGGAGGAACATGGTGGATGGAGCAGACAGACAGGGAGCTGAGGAACATTGGTGGTGGAGCAGACCAGACAGGGGGGAGGAACATGGTGGATGGAGCAGACCAGACAGGGGAGGGAACATGTGGATGGAGCGACCGAACAGGGGGAAGACGGGAGGAACATGGTGATGGCACGACGGCAGGACTGTGATGGAGCAACGACATGGAGAACATGGTGTGGAGCAGACGACAGGGGAGTGAGGAACATGGTGATGGAGCAGACAGACAGGAGGAACATGGTGATGGACAGACAGACGGGGAGGAAAATGGTGATGGAGACAGACGGGGAGGAACATGTGATGGAGCAGAAGGGGAGGAACATGGTGATGGAGCAGACAGACAGGGGAGGAGGAACATGGTGATGGAGCAGACAGACAGGGGAGGAACATGGTGATGGAGCAGACAGACAGGGAGCTGAGGAACATGGTGATGGGAGACAGACAGGGAAGGAGGAACATGGTGATGGAGCAGACAGACAGGGGAGCTGAGGAACATGGTGATGGAGCAGACAGACAGGGGAGGAACATGGTGATGGAGCAGACAGACAGGGGAGCTGAGGAACATGGTGATGGAGCAGACAGACAGGGGAGCTGAGGAACATGGTGATGGAGCAGACAGACAGGGGAGCTGAGGAACATGGTGATGGAGCAGACAGACAGGGAGCTGAGGAACATGGTGATGGAGCAGACAGAAGGGAGGAGGAACATGGTGGTGAGCAGACAGACAGGAGGAGGAACATGGTGATGGAGCAGACAGACAGGGGAGCTGAGGAACATGGGTGGAGCGAGCAGACATGAGGGAGGAGGAACATGTGATGGAGAGGACAGACAGGGGAGGAACATGGTGATGGAGCAGACAGACAGGGGAGGAAACATGGTGATGGAGCAGACAGACAGGGGAGGAACATGGTGATGGAGCAGACAGACAGGGGAGGGACATGGTGATGGAGCAGACAGACAGTGGAACTGAGGAACATGGTGATGGAGCAGACAGACAGGGGAGGAACATGGTGATGGAGCAGACAGACAGGGGAGGAACATGGTGATGGAGCAGACAGACAGGGGAGGAACATGGTGATGGAGCAGACAGACAGGGGAGGAACATGGTGATGGAGAAGACAGACAGGGGAGGAACATGGTGATGGAGCAGACAGACAGGGGAGAACTGGGGAGAACATGGTGACTTGATGAGCAGACAGACAGGGGAGGAACATGGTGATGGAGCAGACAGACAGGGGAGGAACATGGTGATGGAGAAGACAGACAGGGGAGGAACATGGTGATGGAGCAAGACAGACAGGGGAGGAACATGGTGATGGAGCAGACAGAACAGTGGGCGAGGAGGACATGGTGATGGAGCAGACAGAACAGGGGAGGAACATGGTGATGGAGCAGACAGACAGGGGAGGAGAACATGGTGATGGAGCAGACAGACAGGGGAGGAACATGGTGATGGAGCAGACAGACAGGGGAGGAACATGGTGATGGAGCAGACAGACAGGGAGGAACATGGTGATGGAGCAGACAGACAGGGGAGGAACATGGTGATGGAGCAGACAGACAGGGGAGGAACATGGTGATGGAGCAGACAGACAGGGGAGGAACATGGTGATGGAGCAGACAGACAGGGGAGGAACATGGTGTGGAGCAGACAGACAGGGGAGGAAACATGGTGGATGGAGCAGACAGACAGGGGAGGAACATGGTGGTGGAGCAGACAGACAGGGTGAGGAACATGGTGGTGGAGCAGACAGACAGGGGAGGAGACATGGTGATGGAGCAGACAGACAGGGGAGGAACATGGTGATGGAGCAAGACAGGGACAGGTGGGACGAGGAACATGGTGGTGGAGCAGACAGACAGGGGAGGAACATGGTGATGGAGCAGACAGACAGGGGATGAGAACATGGTGATGGAGCAGACAGACAGGAGCTGAGGAACATGGTGGTGGAGCAGACAGACAGGGAGGAACATGGTGATGGAGCAGACAGACAGGAGGAGGAACATGGTGATGGAGCAGACAGACAGGGGAGGAACATGGTGATGGAGCGACAGACAGGGAGTAGGAACATGGTGATGGAGCAGACAGACAGGAGGAGGAACATGGTGTGGAGCAGCAGACAGGGGAGGAACATGGTGGATGGAGCAGACAGACAGGGGAGGAACATGGTGATGGAGCAGACAGAAGGGAGCTGAGGAACATGGTGATGGAGCAGACAGACAGGGGGTGAGGAACATGGTTGATGGAGCAAACAGACAGGGGAGGATGAGGACATGGTGATGGAGCAGACAGACGGGAGGAACATGGTGAATGAGCAGACAGAAGGAGTGAGGAACATGGTGTGAGCAGACAGAAGGGAGGAGAGACATGTAATGGAAGCAGACAACAGGGAGTGAGGACTGGGAGACTGAAAGACAGGGGAGGACATGTAAGAGCGAATGTGGTAACAGTAGACTGCAAAAAGAGAGGAACTGGGAAATAAGAGGCAACAGGAGCTAACTGTGATGAAGCGTGATATAGTATAAGCATGATTATTACAAAAGGAGGAGGAGGAGCGATAAAGAGACAGGTGAGAAAGTAAGACATGCGAGTGAGGTATGCTAGGAAGCGTGGTAATGAGTAATGGTGTTATTCATGTCCTGCCAGAGTGAGAGGGGTAGAGGAGTGATAAAGAGGTGAACACTAGATGAACTGCCATGAGAGGCGGAGGTAGCTTAGTGGGTAAGAGCGTTGTGCCAGTAACCGAAAGGTCGCTGTTTCTAATCCCTGAGCCGACTGGGTGAAAAATCTGTCGATGTGCCCTTAAGCAAGGCACTTAACCCTAGTCGCTCTGGATAAGAGCGATGAATAAATGACTGTAATGTAATGCAGGTAATGATGTCCAACAAAATAGAGGGAGGAGGAGGAGGAGGATAAAGGAGCAGGCGGAGGAGGAGGAGGATAAAGGAGCAGGCGGAGAGGGAGGAGGATAAAGGAGCAGGCAGGATAAAGGAGGATAAAGGGCAGGAGAGGAGATAAAGGAGCAGGCGGAGGAGGAGGAGGATAAAGGAGCAGGCGGAGGAGGAGGAGGAGGAGGATAAAGGAGCAGGAGGAGGAGGAGGATAAAGGAGCAGGCGGAGGAGGAAGAGGAGGAGGATAAAGGAGCAGGCGGAGGAGGAGGAGGAGGAGGATAAAGGAGCAGGAGGAGGAGGAGGATAAACGGAGCAGGGAGAGGAGGAGGAGGATAAAGGAGCAGGCGGAGGAGGAGGAGGAGGATAAAGGAGCAGGCGGAGAGGTGGGGGGAGAGAGCAACATAATTCACAAACTCACTTTGATTGCGGTCAATCTGTGAATGATGTCGTAAAAATGTGCGACCAGGTTGCCAAAAATGTGTCTGTGTGCGTGCATGATGGTGATGGTGGTGGGCAGGGTTGTATTTGGAGTGCTAGGGGCGTCTAGACCTAGGGGATATGTAGCGGTTGATCTGAAATACAGAAAGTATATTTTCCTCATGTTCAAATACAAAACTAAATGGTGTACCTACTGTCCCAAATGTATCCACAGGAGGGCGATATATACACTATGATCTTAGTTTGCTTAGTTATTTACATTTAAGTCATTTAGCAAACGCACTTACAGTTAGTGAGTGCATACATTTTTCATACTGGCCCCCCGTGGGAATCGAACCCACAACCCTGGCGTTGCAAGCGCCATGCTCTACCAACTGAGCTACACGAGGCCTATAACATTACACTGATCTTAGTATGGTTTCTTGTTACATTACATAATTGAACTGTCTCTCACTTAGTGTTTACATGCAATATGTATACTTTACTTGATCTAATATAAATATGAAACGTTTGTCTGTTTGATAAATGCATAGTCCAATCTATAGTCTATTGTAGGAGGGGGACATAGTCTGCAAGAAGAATGTGCATGACAATCATCGATTTGGTAGTTAACTTGTGTTGCAGATCATAATATAATTTAACATTTAGTCCAAAGCTCTCCTCTGGTTTTGGTTAGTGCAATCAGGGATCCTTGGGACGGGACGGGACGATCCTAAACCCTAACCCTAACTTAAACCCATACCTTTACCCTAAACTTAACCATAACCCTTTTCTAACCCTAACCTTAACCATTTTACATTTCAACTTCAATATGGTAGGGACGTTCCAAGGATTACGACTAGCACGGGCCCTCTTGGTTTTTTAAAGCCAAGGCAAAGTGAGCAGAGGGCGTCACATGTATTCTTGGTAGTTAGAGTCTTTCACCCTACTAGCATTCCATGGACCTTTAGAAAAATGTGAGCTTTTTGAACTACATTTCCCTACAGTCCCCTTGGCGTCATCACCGCACTCTGCCTTCCCTCCCACTTTTGTTGGTCCGTGAGGAAGTCGCAAGATGGCTGATATCGCTTGAAAGTATGTTCCCTTCCTCAACATGAAGTCGTGAGTGTGGAAGAAAGCGTGGGAGGCACCATCGGGCGTTTATTTTTATTTTTATTTTTTTTCCACATTTCATTTCTCCAAACATCCATTTCATTTCGCGTCGTCTCTGTCCCAGAGTTGTCTTTGAGAGTTGACGCGTCAAGTCACGCCGGGGACCCAGCTAGCTAAATTAGCCAGCTAGCTACAGCGGTTAACGTTAGCCAGCGAGCTAGCTAGCTAACTAAGTCATATTTTGATACTCCATCGGCCAGCTAACTAGCACGTATCAGTAATTTTAACTATTCTAACGGTTATAATATCAATATACTGTCAGATTAAGAATTAATCGACCGTCAACTTCGAAAACTAATGCGCAACGTTTCTTCTTCGTGTGAATCAGGATTAGGATTTTGGAGTAAATCATAACATTACTGTAGCTAGCCATCATCAGCTGTCAACATTTAATGTGTTATTAGCTAGTTAGTTAGAGGGGTAGCTAAACTCTAGCCGGAGTATTAGACTAGCTGGCTTTGCTGGCAGTTGACCAAAATACTGCTAGGGATGGACACACAATTGTACACACACGACCAAATATAGAAGATTGGCTTTGCACACTAACTAGTTCGCTAGTCAAGTTGCTAAAAAAGTTAGCTAGCTTGCTTACTTGCTGTTGGGAAGTGCACCTCTCGGCCTGGCCAAATAGCTTGCTAGGCTAGTTAGCCTTTGCAGGGTTGGTCACTCTTGTCAGAGTTGGGGGTGGCAACAGCTAGGTGCAGCAACAGTCGCTAAGTAATTCACACAGAGAGGTAAGTTAGCTAGCTGCCAGGTTCTAGCTAGCTACAGTCTCGACCCTCACATCAGCTATCACCACGGAGTTCAGAACGTACCCGGAGCCCTCCCCCGGCCAGACCCACCGGCTCAACAACACTGGGATGGGCGTGCAGGGCTTCCAGGAGTATCTTGAGAAACGGTGTCCCGGGGCCGCGGTCCCCGTGGACCTTCTCAAACTAGCCCGTACGCCGGGCCGCCAGCCCCCGCACCCCCACCACCCCCATCACCCCGGCCCTATGCCCCCTCCACCCCCGGCCCGGATACTCATCGATGCTGACTCCGGCCTACAGCGGCTGTACGGCGGTTACCAGACGGACTGGGTGTGCGGCGGGGAGTGGAACGCCATGCTGGGATACCTGGCCGCTCTGTCCCAGGCCTGTCTGTACCAGGGTGGGCTAGAGCTGGTCGTGTGTGTTCAACGGGACCCACTGGGGAAGGAGCGGGGGCCGGTAGTGGGTCGCGCCGGGCGCAGGGGGCAACGCACAGACAGCCCAGCTCATCGTTTAACCATGTCAGCAGGAAGGCTACCCGCCTCCCCGCGCATGGTTCCTGCCCCCGGCCTGCCTCAGCCACTGTGTCCCCTCGCCGTCCGTTCAGAGTGCATAAACAGTTGCTCTCTATCTAGTCATTAGCAGACGCTCGTATCCAGAGGATACAGAGCATAGGGTTATGCCTGCTTACCCGCATTTTCACTAGAGCTCAACCATACCTTTCGGTTACTACCCCATCATAGACCACTACCTTCATCTTTTCCGGGGGACTTTTGTTAAAAGCCCAGATGTTTGCACAAAACGTGAACACGCATCACTTACGGTACAGTTTTGGAAACGTAAGGAAGTAGCTTTCATATCAGCGATAAATAATAATGGTTAAAAAATTAAATGACTACAAGAACCTAGTTAGGGTTTAGTCATATCGCCATGTTGCAGCGTGTTTACGGAAGACAAAGGCGACCACCTGTGTTAATCAAATCAAATCAAATTGTATTGGTCACATGCGCCGAATACAACAGGTGCAGACATTACAGTGAAATGCTTACTTACAGCCCTTAACCAACAGTGCATTTATTTTAAACAAAAAAAATTAAACAACAACAAAAAAAGTGTTGAGAAAAAAAAGAGCAGAAGTAAAATAAAGTGACAGTAGGGAGGCTATATATACAGGGGGGGTACCGGTGCAGAGTCAATGTGCGGGGGCACCGGCTAGTTGAGGTAGTTGAGGTAATATGTACATGTGGGTAGAGTTAAAGTGACTATGCATAAATACTTAACAGAGTAGCAGCAGCGTAAAAAGGATGGGGTGGGGGGGCAGTGCAAATTAGCTATCTAGCTAGTTTAGGCAGCCGATAGGAGCTGCCAGATCTGCGCCATCGTCTAGGATTGATGTGCTCTTCCAGTAAAACACTCGTGTCCCCCGTGGAACGCCTCGTGCATAAAGAATCCTCCATTCAGGAATTTAAAGTCGAGCCGACGGGGAAAAATATGTGTACCATCTTAATAAAACACAATTTTTCCACCCCCGTTATTGGATAACTAAGGTTGTTCCGCACAGTGTTCAGAAAATTGTCAGAGAATTGTGTTGGAAAGATATTTGTATTTTCTTCCCCAGACCTCAAGTGGTCTCCTGATGTGATTTAAACATTATTGTGGACTTTAGTTGTTTTTCTGTGATTTAGAGAGTGAAAACCTGTAGAGAAAAAAAGGGGAATTCCTCAACCTGGAAAAACAAAACTGAGAATCTTTCTGGTGGTTTTTGGTGTTATTATGGCAAATAAATGTATTGGCTGCTAAGAATTCTGAGTGGCTGGTAGATTTTTTTTCATCTACACGCTACGATGACGCCGTACTGTATGGCTGCAATGTCTTGACGTGTCTTTACGATGACGCCGTACTGTATGGCTGCAATGTCTTGACGTGTCTTTACGATGGTGCTGTACTGAATGGCTGCAATGTCTTGACATGTCTTTACGATGGTGCTGTACTGAATGTGTCTTGACATGTTTACGATGATGAGCCATACTGGGCCAATGTACTTGACGTGTCTTTACGGATGGCGCCGTACTGTATGGCTGCAATTGTTGACGTGTCGTTTAACGGATGACGCCGGTACTGTATGGCTGCAATGTGCTTGACGGTCTTTACGATGACGCCGTACTGTATGGCTGGCAATGTCTTGATCTGTGTCTTTACGATGACGCCGTACTGTATGGCTGCACGGTTTGACGTGTCTTGTACGATGACGCAGTACTGTATGCTTGCAAGTCTTGACGTGGTCTTTACGATGACGCCGTACTGTATGGCTGCAATTGTGTTTGACGTGGTCTTTACGATTGACGCCGTGAACTGTATGGCTGCAATGGTCTTTGACCGGTCTTTACGATGGCGCCTTACTGTAGGGCTGCATGTCTTGAACGTGTACTTTACGATGACGCCGTTACTGGTATGGCCTGCCAATGGTCTTGACATGTCTTATACCGGAATGGGGGGGGTTGCTCGTACTGTATGGCTGGCAATGTCTTGACATGTCTTTACGATGACCGCCGTAACTGATTGGCTGCCAATGTTTTGACGTGTCTTTCCGGATGGTGCTGTACTGTATGGCTGCAATGTCTTGGACGGTGTCTTTACGGATGACGCCAGTACTGTATGGCTGCAATGTCTTGACGTGTCTTTACGATGGTGCTGTGCTGAATGGCTGCAATGTGTTGACGTGTCTGTCATGACTCTCTCCTTGGTGAGGATCAAAGGTGGCAGATCAGCTAGGCCAATGGCTGACAGATAGCTAGACCCCACCCCTCTCTCCCACAGGAGAGGAGAAGGGGAGTTGGGCCAGTTTATGACTTAACAGCCGGTCATAAATAGTTTGTAGAAAAGGACTCCTTTTTTAAAATTATTTTATTTATTTATTTATTTCACCTTTATTTAACCAGGTAAGCCAGTTGAGAACAAGTTCTCATTTACAACTGCGACCTGGCCAAGATAAAGCAAAGCAGTGCGATAAAAACAACACAGAGTTACATATGGGGTAAAACAAAACGTACAGTCAAAAACACAATAGAAGATCTATATACAGTGTGTGCAAATGTAGCAAGTTATGGAGGTAAGGCAATAAATAGGCTATAGTGCAAAATAATTACAATTAGTATTAACACTGGAATGATAGATGTGCAAGAGATGATGTGCAAATAGAGATACCGGGGTGCAAATTAGCAAAATAAATAACAATATGGGGATGAGGTAGTTGGGTGGGCTAATTTCAGATGGGCTGTGTACAGGTGCAGTGATCGGTAAGGTGCTCTGACAACTGATGCTTAAAGTTAGTGAGGGAGATAAGAGTCTCCAGCTTCAGAGATTTTTGCAATTCGTTCCAGTCATTGCAGCAGCGAACTGGAAGGAATGGCGGCCAAAAGAGGTGTTGGCTTTGGGAATGACCAGTGAGATATACCTGCTTTTGGTCTCTAGGATGGGAAGACTAAGATTTTCTTTGTTCCATAGACTCTTTGCCGTCAACTTTTATGTCAAAAGTGGACATTAGAACATTATTCATGACCTCTGAATGTTTGGAATGGTCATTGGGGATCTAAAGAATAATGTCATATTGTTTATTATTTTGTGATGTTTTTAAAAATTGTATGAATCTGTCAAGTTTCCATCCAATACGTTGTCTATGTGATAAGAAAATGGATGACACTATTTTTAAGATAGGAGTGTGATATTAGGAGTCATAAGAGAGAACATCTAAGCATATCCTTTGCACAGCAACTAGCCACTCCCCACGTGCCATCAGAGATCGTGTCAGCAAGTAGGAACACCCCTTTTACCAAGAGGGCATAAAGGCTTGAAAGACAAATTAACATTAGACCAGGAAGCATGTAGCTGTGGCTACACGGCTTAAAATAGTTAGACCAGAAAACAAGAGAGTGGCGACTACGTTTAGAATGGTTAGAACTTTGAATGAGAATGACCAGCTGACGTGAAGCGCGAGGTGAACGTTACAAACGGTCGAACCTCTACAGACCAGCTGACGTGAAGCGCGAGGTGAACGTTGACACTACAGACCAGAAAACGTGGGACGGTAGTCCATACGTTTGAAATGGTGAAACGCTCAACCTCTACACGAGGTGAAGAAGCAGATAAACGCACTAGACCTCATCATATCAGTCTGCAGCTGGCATGTAAAGTTGTCTAGAACTTTCACTAAAGACACCAGTTGGGAAGGACCATCCCATCTCAGACAACTGTTGGTACATCTGAAGTATCTATTCTAATGAACACTCCATTCGAAGACAAGCCGAGTCCCATCGGAGTGGAACCAGGACACTCAAACCCTTTTTGTGAAAGTGGTTCAACAGAGAGACGGCGATCAAGGACAGCTACGCGTAAATATGCATTGCATTTCTTTTCCGAAAGAGTGGTGGTTTCCAAATGTAACAACGATAAGTTGAATCTCTTTGTCTCTCCCTTTCACACACTCTCTTGACCCCTCCTTCCCCTAACCAAGCAGTCATGCTGTTGTTTAGTCCAGTCCACTAGGGACCTGTTTTCATTGTATTACGTTAGTAATCAATAACCTATACCGTGTGTGTGTTTATGTATTCTGTGTTAATATTTAGTTAGCTAGTAAATAAATAATTAAGTCAATTTGTGTATTGCTGATTCATCAATAATGTTAGGGTTCTTGCAGATATCAAGGAGTATGCGACGTTCAGAATGAGACTGAGGTAATAATGATTAATCAGTGACTGTTATCGAGATAAGTCAAAAGTTTGGACACACCTACTCATTCAAGGGTTTTTCTTTATTTGTACTATTTTCTACATTGTAGAATAATAGTGAAGACATCAAAACTATGAAATAACACATATGGAATCATGTAGTAACCAAAAAAGTGTTAAACAAATCAAAATATATTTGAGATTCTTCAGAGTAGCCACCCTTTGCCTTGATGGCAGCTTTGCACACTCTTTGCACACTCTTGACAAGGCAGGGGTGGTATACAGAAGAGGGCTCTATTTGGTAAAAGACCAAGTCCATATTATGGCAAGAACAGCTCAAAAAAGCAAAGAGAAATGACAGTCCATTACTTTAAGACATAAAGGTCAGTCAATCTGGAAAATGTCAAGAACAAGTTTCTTCAAGTGCAGTCTCAAGAACAATCAAATGCTATGATGAAACTGGCTCTCATGAGGACCGCCACAGGAAAGGAAGACCCAGAGTTACCTCTGCTGCAGAGGATAAGTTCATTAGTTACCAGCCTCAGAAATTGCAGCCCAAATAAATGCTTCAGAGTTCAAGTAACAGACACATCTCAACATCAACAGTTTTTTTTGTTTTTTTGTTTTTTGTAACTGTTCAGAGGGGACTGTGTGAATCAGGCCTTCATGGTCGAACTGCTGCAAATAAACCACTACTAAAGGACACCAATAAGAAGAAGAGACTTGCTTGGGCCAAGAAACACGAGCAATGGACATTAGACCGGTGGAAATCTGTCCTTTGGTCTGATGAGTCCAAATTTGAGATTTTTGGTTCGAACCGCCGTGTCTTTGTGAGACGCGGTGTGGGTGAACGGATGATCTCTGCATGTGTAGTTCCCACCGTAAAGCATGGAGGAGGGTGTTATGTGTGGGAGTGCT